CCACCACTCTTGAGACCCTCACACTATTACAAGGCATAAGAATTATTGGAAAATATGACTTTTTGAATAAGGAAAGATGTATACCAGTAAAATTTCTTTAATTAGATGTGGCTGCTAGAAGATATTACACTGAAATAATATGATTTAGTCCTTACTAGGTTATATAAGAACCTGGAATCCATCATAAATTGTCTCTCTACCACAGGTGGATAAAAAATTATTGCCCAAAGAAGATTGAAACCAAGTATGTCTTGGAAGTAAAGATTTATACTAGGTGATAAGTTTTCTCAGATGGTACACAAGAAGGAAATCAAGATCCAGAATGGATAAGTTCCTTAGATGGTTAGGAAAAAAAAGAATATTCCAATCGGGCATTTCTTATTGAGAAGAGGTTTTGAGAAGTAGATCTTTGGAAGAAGCTGAAAATATTTTTTTCAATTTTTACTCTTTCATTTTCTTGTTGTCTGCTTAAATATTTTTAGATATTCTCCTTCCCTTTTTTCAACCCATCTTTTTGAAGTTTCCTGTATTTCAGCAGCTTGATTAGATATATGGTAGTGACAACCTGCTAGCAATAATGCAGTGAGTATTCAAAAAAAAAAAAGAATTTTATAATATGAAGGTACTGAAAGCAACTGGAAAATAAATAATATATCTTTAATTGAAAAAGCTCTTAAAAAGTAATCAGCTTATAATATTAAAGTAATAATAGTAGTATAGGATTTTAATAGTTTTGCATAAAATTCTAGAATATTTTATTAGTAATTATTTCTTATATTTGCATTATGTCTTGACTTGAAAGTTTAATAAAATAAGATTGAGTTATCCTTTCAAAATATATATATATATAACTTTAATAAACTAAAGTTGAGTTCTAAATAATTTTTTTGATATACTTCAATTTAGTACTCGTTTAAATAAAAAAATAATTAAAATGATTTATTTAATATTACAAATAATAATGCTTTCAAGATTTAAATAAAGCAAAAAAACTATTTAAATCAAGAAATCTTTTTAAAAGGAAGACAGTTTTGTTTTAGGATCTTTTTAATAAGATCTTGGATTGTTTTCTTTCTTTTATTCATATTTTTCATCCTCTTAACTTATAATTTATTAATTTTGAGTTAATTAATAATAACAAATTGTTGATAATATTTCAAATAGATAGAAATTAATTCAATTATATTAGGGAAGTATAATATTGTTCCCAAAATTTAACCTAAAGCATTTATATTTAAAAATAAGTTAGTATTTTGTAAAAGTTTATAAATTATTATAGATTTTATTTTAATTTCTCAATAAAGACAAGCCATTATGACATGATTACAAATTAGTAATATATATATATATATACAATATATTAATTATATAATTAAGAATTTAAAATTTCTCAATAAAGACAAGCCATTATGACATAATTACAGATTAATAAAAATATATATACTGTATATACAGTATATTGATTGTATAATTAAAAATTTAAATATTGATAAAATTAAAATTTGTAACAAAAATATAATAAGTAAACTCAAATTTTGGAAGAAATTGTATTTACATTTTACCAAAGCATTTATTCTATTCAACACACTTATCAAAATTGACCAACTCTAAATTCAATATTGAAAATAATTTTTTGCTTTATAATTAGTTCAGATGAATATTATTCTAATTAAAATATTATAATTAGCAGTTCATTGCTGCTGAATTTTATATTTATAACTATAAAAGTACTTACATTCGTTGTAATTATCGATTGATTAAAATATTACAAAAATAAAACTTAACATAAAGTTATAATATTATATTATTATTGTTTAAAAAACTTCTTTTAGTAAGTAAATATATGTACAGTATATATCTATTTACAATACTAATTAATTATATAGATATTAAATTATGAAAAAATATTATGATAAATCTTTTATTACATGTAGTCGAGTGAATTTTAATTATACAACTCGTTATTGTTTAAACCAATTTGTAAGTTGTTATTTTTAGTTGATTCAAATTTGCGAAAATTCTTATTTGGGAAAATAGTTTTCATCTTCTTTATCTTAATTTATTACACTCTAAGGTATGTAACTTCATAACACATTTTGGTCATAAATATCATTTTCATTTGCCACAAGAATTTAACGTGAAATTCGAATTTTGATTTCGAAAGATTGAATCGTTTAATATTTAAACTTGAAATAATTTAATACCTAAATTGTTGCCACATGCATTATTCCGGTTCACAAAACGCTACCGTAAGATACATATGAAGGAAACTTGGCGTATCGTATAATGTGCGGATTATGAAATTAAAAATTTGAAATGTGCTGTAGCTTTATATATCGTTTTCATTTCATCCTCTTTATCATTTATCGCGCCTTTATAATCGTGCGAGATAATCACTATATTTATTAGAAGCTACTTTCTTAAAATCCTTTTCAGTAATATGTCTTGCCTCTACGGCAGGATTATATCCCAATATTTTCCGGGAGTCATACATATTTTGTTTTATAATTTCCCCGAATGTTGAAGGATGTGGTTTTGCGTAAATTGTAACAACTACAGCTCCGCCGAGACCAATGTTGTGTTGAAGTGCGTATCTTAAATTTGGAACTTGACGATTTGTACACCATCCTCTCAATTGCCAAACCTAAAGGTGTAATTGAAACTTTATATACTGTACAAATAATTATTACTTAAGCCATATCTATTTACTTACCAGCTCAGTGCATTGAGCTAGTCCAGTAGCACCAATTGGATGACCCTTAGATATAAGACCGCCCGATGGATTGACGACATATTTTCCGCCATATGTCACATCCCCATTATCAATTAGTTTATGAGCTTCGCCTGGTTTACAAAGACCGAGAGCATCATATGTGATTAACTAGGTTTAATTTAAAATTTAAAATTAGTTTATAATAGATCGATCCATTAACTATTTGAGATATCGTACCTCATTGGCGGAAAAACAATCATGAAGTTCGACAACTTGGATGTCATCTGGAGTAATTCCAGCTTTCTTAAACGCATCCTTCGCTGCACGACGTGTCATGTCAGCTCCTGCCAATTCTATCGAACTTTTTGCCTCCAATAATAATGGTGAATCGGTCGCCATTGATTGTGCCACTATTTCAACAGCATTGTCCTGAAGATTATGATCACGGATAAACTTTTCAGAAGCGATAATTACTGCTGCTGAACCGTTTGACGTTGGGCAACACTGTAATTTGGTGAGCGGTCCAAAAACGATTGGCGAGGATTTAATATCGTTGAGAGAGTAAATATCTCTAAATTGTGAATATGGATTTTTGGAGCTTTTAAGATATAGTGAAAGCAAAGCATCAGTGGTGAGAAGTAGTCAAATAATAACAAAAGGAATAAGACGAACCTGTGCCGATGGTTTTTTTCTCCAATTTTTGCCATGTGCTCAGGAGTGGCACCAAATTTTTCGCAATATTCAATACCAGCATTACCAAAAATTTGGGCGGCAACCGGTGAACTGGTTAGTCCACGAATTTCAGACATCAAACTAACAGTGTGATCTATTCGTTATAACACATCATTTTTAATCCAAAATTGAGTTTAAGAAATAAGATAAGCTGCAAACTCTAAAGTTAAAGATCTTTGAATACCTACCAAGAGGGTTAATGCGATCGTTCCATATTGATGTAAGGGAACCTTTATAATATAAGTGAGCAAATACTGTATACTGCATATACTGTATATGCTATACTAAAATTAACATTATATAAAGTATTTTTATATTACCGGGAGACATTTTTTCAAAGCCTAATGCCATTGCGCAGTCAACTTCTCCTGACTCAACTGATTGACGTGCCAAAAATAATGCAGCCGAACCTGTAGAACAATTATTATTCACATTACTTTGAGAGATATACTGTAAGTGTGCTTATACTAATCCTGTGCATCAGCCAAAGATTCTCTAGAAAAAACTCACATAATTGGAATTTGAGTCATTCCTAATTGATATACAGCTCTTTGCCCACAAGTACTGTCGCCATAACAGTACCCGACAAAAACTTGCTGAACTTGGTCATAGGTGGCATTTGCATCCAAGAGTGCTTTTACCGCTGCTTCTCGAGCAAGTTCTAGTTAAAATTTCAAATATACACGTAATCTATATTTATATACTATACATAGTTTAGCGCAAGTTTAAGGGGCAGGTCTAACTAACCAGGATAGTCAACTTGGTCCCGAGGTTTAAGAAATTTCGTCATTCCAATGCCAACGACATAAGATTTACTTCGAGGATTGCTACTCATTTTAGAATGAAAATATCCACCATAAACGTTAAGAGTTTATCGTCGTAATTAAAGAACTTAGCCACATGCAACCAGCAGCACATTTAATCGTGTAACTGTAAGTAGTAAATTTCCATTTTCAAACACCGATTTTAATTTCGACCTTGCCAAGTATGGTATTTTTTTATTTTCATCCTGTATGTATTCAAGAATTAAACCTGATTTTCATAGCGAAAAAAAATGTGTAACAAGATCCTGTCAATGGGTTGCATGCCCTTTTTTTAATCACTTCTTTACCACGATCCGGCAGAGTCAATAAAACTAGGAATTTTTAAAGACTCAATATTATACCAGGCTGCAGTAACGGCCTCTTCAAGCTTAGATTCGGTTTATGGATTTGTTAATCTTGTAAACCCAACTTTTGATTTTCTTTATACATTTTTAATTGAATAAAATTGGAAAAATCATTTCTTGCTAAGGATAATTATTTGAAATAATAAGTGTAGTTAAAACATTCTCTAAATATCAAATATTGGAAGAAGAGAAGGACTCGGATTTTACTTACAAAGGCATATTGTAACTTATGTACTAAATAAAAAAATTAATTTTGTCTTACTAAATATATTTTTTAGTAATAATTTAAAATATTGTGAAATAGCAAAATATTATTACAATTTCAAACCTGGATTTGATTTCTTTTAAAGTTATATATATGTGAATAGAAGATTTGTTTTCTTGTAAGATTTTATTTTAATTATTAAAATTATTAAATAAATAGTATTTACACAATGGTTTATACTCTTCATTATTAATATATGAAGAGATATTATCAAATTATGTTCATTTATATATCCTCAAACCACAACTAATTTATGTCAACTTTTATAATTACTTGAATTATAAAGTTATCTCTATAACATCAAATATAAGAGTCGATAATAATAAAAAATTTATTTATTTATATAACATATCTTAATTTTTTTAATTAAATGTAAAAAGGTTTTTATTTTTATTTTATTTATTTAAATTCATTTTTTATAAAAATATATATATTTTTAAAAAAAAATTAATAAAAATAAAAAATTTTTATTGATCGTTCTTATATATTTTAACAATATTATAAATAATAAAAAAATATCTTTTAAAAAAGTTTTTTTTTATTTGATTAAACTAAGTTTCAAAAAAATAATTATGATATTAAAAAAAATATAAAAAATAGTGTTATTTATCTTTTTATTAAATTTTTTATTAAATAAAAGTTAAAATTTTTTTGTTTTAATCTTAATTATAAAAGTTTTTTAAAATATTTTTTTAAGCAAGACAAACTTTTTTATAGTATAAAATTAATTATAAAAATATAATAAGTAAATTTATATATTAAAAAGAAAATAAGTTTTTTAAATATTATAATAGTTTTATAATTAAAGTTTAAAACAAAAATATCTTAATTAAATAAATTTCTTTTGAAAATTTTTTTTGGAATTTAATAAAAAATTTTAATAAAACTTTAAATTATTTTTTTTAATTTTTTTATATTAATAATTTATTATTTTTTAAAATAATTAATATATTAATTTTAATAGATAAAAATTAAATATTGATTTAAAAAATAAATGAAATATTATTTTTAAAATTTGACTAAGTATTCAATAAAAACTCAATTTTATTTAATTAATAAATTTTTATATCTTACTTAATTTAATTTTTAATTAATAATATATAATAATAAATAAACAATGTAATATTAAAAATATTTTATTAATATTTCAATAAAAATATATTATAATAATATAATTATTAATAAAAAAATAATTATTTGATAACTTTTATTAAAAAACTATTATTATTGATTTTTTTATTTAAAAATAATTTTAATTAAAGGATCTATAAATTTATAATATAATAATAGTATTTATGGATTATAATTATAAAAAGTGAAAAATCACTCCCAAAGTTATACTTAGAGTAATTATTGAGACGAGTGAGCTAGTTAAAGTTTTAGCTTTAGCGATT